GGAACTATTCCGCTCGTAATCACGTTGGAAATACTTGCTGAAGGCGAAGGTGATATCAGGCTCGTCTGTGGCATCTGCGAAGTCCTGCCTATGGATAGAGTCACCTATGTGGATGACATCTTAGGAGACGGAGTCGTCCATGGAGCCAGTACCATACTGGATGAACGGCTCGAAGCCATCTTGCCTCATGGATGAATCGAAGAAGCACGACTCGGAGCTGTGAATCCCGAGTGTATGGCGGAAAAAAATATTCTTACCGAGGATAATTTGAATGTTGCAGTGGGATGCCGACCTCGATATCAGTATGATATCGAGTGTTCTTGGAGTCTGAGAAATGTGAATCCGAAAGCAAGGGAGGAGAAAAGTACATACTGGTGAGTAGCATGGACAATATTGGAGTCGTCGCGGAAATCTGAGTCACCCAATAAAAGCATGGAATCTCTAGAAACTCTTGTTAGATGTTCAATATTCAGCATCAGCCATTTTCCCGACGATTGTCACTCTCGCTAGTGAATATTCCCCACTAACTTCAGCCATTCCATATCACTCCTAACCTTAGTGAGGTTTCTCGCACCCATTTGAATCTTCGATGCGGATACCGCCTATTTCGCGGTAAACAAGCCGTGATCCACATATTCATCGGACTCCTCTATAACTTCGAGTAGATGTTCATGGAAGTAGATCACCAGCTCAATAGTCTATCGAAGTAAGCAGGTGAAGAATCCACGCAAGATTCGGACTTACCACAACCATGCCCTCTGCGAGGGGCAACCGGAGCCGCAAGTACGTGTAAAATTGGGGTGTTCGACGTTGTCTTTGTGGAATAGTCGTGTTGTTGACTGGTTTACTTGCACTCGGGACATCGTGTACGTCCATCCCGAGCGAATGCCCGACTCCGTGAGGAAAAAGGCCGAGCTAATTCCACATAGGGAAACGCACGGGTATGGGTAACACCGCGGTTTCTTTGCTGACGGGTTTGGCGGGTACGGGTACGGTTGTCATCACAAAATTTGCAGAAGTGAGATATTACCTGATTTAGACTGTTGTGTGCCACAAACAATTGACACGTCACTGTCAGACCATCTCGGCAACAGCCAGACGTGATAGAAAACATCTCGCAATGACATTGAACCTTACTGCATGCTATCAAGATAGGATTACTATGTAGTACATGTATCTACATGACATATACAATGTATTGCCCACATTGACCGACAAAATTAAGTGAGTGTAAACAAAATGTTAAGTTAAAGTGTGCCATAGCCCTCCTCTGCAAGTAGGTCATCGTCAAGTTCCTCACCCTCATCAGCCAAAACTCTGTCGTCATCATCATCCTGACCTATATCAACATTGTCGTCAGCACCCTCTTCCTCATCAGCACCGTCAGCACCCTCTTCCTCATCAATGCCATCTTCTTCATCAGTGCCCTCCTCGTCCCGCATCTCCAAGTCTTCCATATCACCTTCATCTTCCAAATCCGACTCATCCCCTCACATCTCGGAGTCTTCATGTGCACTTGATTCAGTTTTGCCACCTTGGAGGAACTCATCCCAGTCCTGCATGGCCTTGTGACCAATTCCACCCCCACGAAACCTCATGAATATGTCGCGATCAATGAACCTGTAGATACTACAATGAGAAATATAACAAGAAAAAAGTAAGCACATACATGTTTACATAGTAATAGCGCCAGTCTGTATCAAGTTCTTCCTCTTTGTGGACAAAGGACGGTCCAAGGAGTGTGTCAGTGCGACTGTAGGCAAATGCAGGGATGATGTGTACCCTGTGGATGACAGAGTCAGGGTCCAGGAATCCAAATGCTTCCCCAAGACTGTCTTGGTCAAAGAATTCCAAGTGCTGTAGGCGTTTAGCAGCAAAGCTGGCAGGTGATCTGTCGTGTCTGAACCAACAAACAAATAAGACATCCATGCGTCTTGGTTGTGAATAGTGTGACTCCTCGTCCTCGCGATACCCTACGTTGACATGAAATATTCTGATAATGTGGTTGTACCAGTAAGGATGTGTACGCTTGTCCTCTTCTGCGAGTACCATGACATCAGCACAAGTTCAAGGATTGATTGTGTCTTGTTTGTGTCATAGATCGTATGTCGTGTAGTTGATGCGCAACGTGCTATGCTGGAATAGCTTGTTCTCGCCAATGAGGACAGAGTCATGGTCTTCATCCGAAAACTCATATTCATCACCATTATATGTGAGCCCACGGAGGCAGGCAAGCAAATGGTCTTTGAGGCGAGGGATAAAGTTCTGAAAAATGCAATGAAACCCAAGTGAAATGTATATACAAAACGACATACCTCAACTGCTGGATCATCTGCCAAATCAACTAACCAAGCTGTGAGATCAAAGCTTTCACAAGAATGCTTGGTGATATAGTAATGATCTGTGGGGGCAGTGTGGAGACACTTTGGTGTCATGAATGTTACCAACTGCATCTAAATTTCGATTATCGAACCCTAAGTCACCTTATCCGATAAGATTAGATTAGATAGATCCCTGATAAGATAAGATGGATAACCGATTAATGATCACTATCTTTACATCACATCTATACTACATCGACGTCATCCATCTATATCCATAACCCTAGATAACCGAACTCATCATATCCTTAGAAGTCCTACGATTAGGCAAACGGGTTACATCATAAGCATCTATACGCCTCTATGATCGAACCATAACCGAGAGTCCTCTACGAGCTACTTCTCGAAGAAGTCATCATCTCTTCACATCGCACACCTTCACTTCTCATGACATGTTAAGAGTTACCTCTGTCATTCACCGAACCCCTTACATTAGAACCTGTTGCACAGTCACAGCTAAACCCTAGATCCCTATCACAGAAGCATCGCTCATAGAGAAGCATGTTCATTACCGAAGACCCTGGAGAACCCTCAGATCCGATCGTACCCGATACATCTCCAGATCCAGATCCTATCTAGATCCTTAGATCTAGATCCCCAGATCCATCTCTTATCGAGATCCTTAATTACCCGCTCGAGACTTCTTGACACAGAACTCTCTCACACCCTTCTTAATCTCCGTCCACCCTGAATAGAAGCAGTCCCTGAGAACCCTGCTTAATCACCGATACCCTTGGCCCTATGAACCCTTTACCCTTCTCTTCTTGTAGTTGATTGGTTGATAAGACGCCCTATACCCTAGGTGCAATGTTATGACTGCATATAGTTATATCACATACCTTTCATACTCAGATAGCTCCGCCCCAATAGTAGTATATAGTCTAGGTAGTAGTCAGTAGTACTCCTTAGACTTAACCTCCTCATTTCTACATTATCGTAGGGCCTAGACGTTCCTCTCAATATCATCTTCGCTTTACCCTCTTTGACTGAGTCCTGTGGTGTGATTGATCTCCAAACACCTACTAGTTAGGTTAAGGGACGTTGGTCATAACATTTGGTCTGGGATTGGCCTTCTGCATAATGATAGTTTCATGTGCAGCAATAACTTTCTTGACCAAGCGTTCAATCACATCCTGGGAAGTCATACTGCATGTCGTTTGGTCCTTTTTCTTGGATGTTCGTGGATACCGGTGCTTTGACAGGCGGTGCTCAAGCTCTCCCTGGGGGCAGGTTAGAAGACAACATTAGATGAAATAAACCAGTACGTACCAACTGCGAGTTAAAGCATTTGTTGTACCTCTTTCTTGGATGGTGTTAGGGTAGTCAGCGAGCACATGGTATTTGTAGGTGTTCGAATTCAATCTCTTCACCTTCAGACCAGAGACAGTATGTGATGGTCCTGGTTGCTTTGAGGCTAGCACAGCCTGATGTTGTCCACAGGCAGCGTGCCCGCACGGAAGTTCTGTTGTGTGATAATGTTTGCACACGGTGCGCTGAAATTTGCGAATGGACTGACCCAGAGCAACAGTTGCTGAATCAAAAAATGCAAGGGTGTCGTTGGTATGGCAGGCAGAGTTTGGCATATGCATGCCATGCTGCGAGGTTGAAGAGGAGGTCTAATATTACCTTGTTATGGATGGCCTTTTCCTTGTCCTCTGATTCCTCATTGATGAGGATTCCTTCAAAAGACAGGAAGAGCACACTAGTTTACAATAGAATTCAATAAATGAAAAGTAAATGAGATAAATCTGAACTTACCTGCAGGAGATCCTCAAAGTCTCGCGCTGCAAGACACTTCATTGCCGATGCATTGTTGTGGAAGTGACGGATGGTTCCCTGTCCAAAGGTAGGTACTCTTCGATATCTGTAGAAAGCCACATGAGAATAAGTATGACCGTAATGCCTAAGTACATACCTCCAGTTCAGCTCCTGGACTGCAGTGCCACCTGCTGCGAAAAGGACACGCATGAGATGAGTAAATATAGCCTTCCAAACCCCAAGTTCAAATTCGTGCAGTAGGTCAACTACAAATAAGACAAAGAAATTGAAGAAATATTTTGCGAGGCGCTCAGAGAAGGCATTCTACCAAAAAATCAACCTTGAAACTGATATCTTGTGAGGAATGACTTACCCAAGTAGGGACCAGTGACTCTTCATTCAAGATATTCTGAATGTGCTGGCTATTGATACTAGCTCCCTGCTTGAACATCAATGCTCAAGCTTGTTTGACATGACACCGTCGTCATTCATTGTCAGTCCGCTGAGTCCTCTCACAACGTTTCATATCAAGTTTGGTGCCCATCCTAGGGATATCAGATTTCTTGATGAGGCACCATGGACATGGGCACTCACCAAGGAATTTGATACATGCAAGTAGGATCCTGATAGTAGAACTAAAATTAGATACCACAATCTGATATGAAGGTCAATCATGAAACCTACTTTTCAGGGTAATCAGCAGAGTAACTAAAGAACCTGGGAAATATGCGCCATGTGATCCCGTCTCCACATTGAATGACACTACCATATTTGTAGGCATGCATGAACTCTTCGTCAAGTAGTAGTGCCCAGATGGCCTGCATAAGCTCCCATTTACAATGTGTATAAACGTCGGTTGAGGATGCATCGCCGAAAATATTGAAATAAGTATCTTGAAAATCACTAGGGATCTGTTAAAATGAGTATCCGACAACACATTATAAGACAGGACTTACAGAGGGGATGTACACCACATGGTGGCATGCAGATGCTGTCAGTTTCCCTCTCATGTATTTAGACTGATTGCCAAAGAACAAGTAAAACAGCCAAAGTGAGGCATCACCAAAGTTTGTAAGATGTGTGGTGTCTGACCACATCATGAGGGAGGCAACAACACGTTCAAGGTTGTCATCAGGTTCCCTAGGGAGAGAGTTGACCTCCTCATAAGCTTCTGAGAAAGCAGGAGATGAGTATGCCTCAGAATAGACATTGATGGTGCATTCCTCTGACACCTTCCATCGCTGTTGGAAGGGTGTCATGTGAAAGGTGGAGGTGATACTATCCTGGAAGACCAATGTAATGACATCAGTGAGTGAGCGGTGGTAGACACCAGGTATCTCGAGCACAGGTGTTTCATCCTCTGATGCCCACTTCATCTTCTCCTTCAGCAGGCGGATTTGGACCGTAGACTCGTGCCAGCCATTTTCAGCGTGGAAGGGGTTAGATGAATCCTTGAGATAGGCACTGATAAGCCTTTTCTTGCGTACATTGTCATAAATCTGTGCATCCTCTCTCCTGTACTCATCGTTATTGAGGAAATTTCTGGTGAGGTGCTTCATCTCAGCATTCAACTTGGAATTAACTCCAGAGTACTGCCAGCACATGAGGAGCCCCGCTGTTGGGCTACTGAAAGGAGAGAAAACATTATCAGGCCCAATCTCTGAAGAAGGAAGCCCAGTAGTGATCTGAGAACTCCTAATATTAGGATCATGATCCAGGGTAGGAGCATCGACGACTACAATCGAGACCTGCATCTCCCTTTGGTATCAGGGTGGGACATGCAGAGTAGATATGGAAAAGCCCCATTGCATCAGGGGCTGTTTGGTATGGGATGAGGGGGGGGCTGATGAGGAATGTCTTTGGAGGCAGGACTATCTGGTGCCTGTGGTTGCTCAGGCTGAACCTTGATAGGTTGATTAGAGGGTCGTCCGCCTCCTGACAATTGGTTGGGGGCATGTGAGCGAGGTGAGTTGCTGAGCCTGGGATATAGTCAATGTAGCATGTAGGTATACATATTCACTGCCCAGAATGGGCAGAGACAACAGCAGGTGCATCTGGGGTAGGCACTGGAGGTTCCACTTCTGGAATATATCCCAAGGGTCCTGCAGTATCCCCATACTACATGATTATTGTATCAGCATACTACAAATCAAGTACATCGAATGAAAATTACCTCAGTGTTGACATAGTCATCACCCAGGTCCATCTGCACGTCAGCTTCGGGAGAGGTGTTCCTTTGCCTGCGTTCTGGAGACCTAGTCTCATCTCAAGCTCTCTTCTTCCCGCGCTTCTTACGTCCCTTCTCGAGGTAATGCTGACTCTTGTAGCCGTCAGCATCAGGAAGTTTGTTGGCTTCACACTGGGCCTCATGACCACTCAAGCGCTTTTGAGATGGGAAAACTTTCATGCACCCTAAACAGATGAGGTCTTCCATGTAGATAGGTAAATAGAGGACGCGGAGGGGGATAGAGACATACCTGGGCATTTCTGAAAGCCTTTATAGTCGCCATAGATTCACTCTACTGCACTAGTTCAAGACTGTACATGGGCCTGTGGTCTGATTCGCCATAGGATGCTGGGCACATAAGGGAGTAGTGCAGATACTAAGATTCACATCTACTGCTTTAGGCGAAGACTCATGTGCAACACGCTCCTGCAATGCTTCATTGCACGACATGACCATAGTCCAACCAGAACATATCGCATATGCTTGTGTTCAGGTAAGTGCTTTTGTGTACTAGACAGATTTATCTCACAATTGTTACTATTGAGGCTCGCTTCAGAATCAGCAGCAAGAATAAGTGGGCTGAAGTCGATGGGAAGTTCAGCTATTGAGAGTTCTACCAGAACATTATTGACTTTCTCTGAGAATGCGAAGATAAGGATTGGGTGGACGGTCTCCTAAAATGGTGGAACAGGTACATGATTTTTATTTTCTTGATCATGATGCTGAGCGTTTCTGCAAGGAAATTGTTCAAGAATGAAAATAGGCGGGAAGGCAGTGTTGAGATACAGGACCAAGCTTCTACTAATGATTCTAGCGGGAGCTCCTCTGCGCCAATGGATAGCTTGGCCAAGATGAGGGCACAGATGTCTGCTCACGCTAGTGCAGCCAAGAGTTCAGGTCGAGATCGTGTTCATCATTCTCCAAGTTCTCCCACTCCTCGTACTAGTTCTCATGATCATTCTCATTCTCCTCTTGGCCATTCTTATTATCCTTGTGCTCATTCCCCTGCACCTCAGATCCATTCTCCTGTGCCTCGTAGATGGTCTTTTACTCCCCAAGGACGTTCTCCTACTCCTGCGCATGGTAGGCACTCTCCTGTTCCCCGCAGACATTCTCCTACTCCTCGTATGTGTTCTCCTTCCCCTCACAAGCGTATCTGACCCTGTCCAATTCCGCCTAAATGGGCTGCTCCCACGGCACCTGACACTGCTGCAGTCCTTTCACCACCTTGTCACCCTTGTTCCCCAACTCCTCCTCGTCCCTGTTCCCCAACTCCACCTCATCATTCCCTGACTCCACCTCATTGTCCTTGTTCTCCAACTCCACCCCATCGTACATCCCCACACAAGAAAGCCACTCCACCCCGTCATCCTCATTCTCCAACTCCACCTCGTCATACATCCCCACGCAAGAAAGGCCCTACTGTTCCTTTTTCACCTGAACTAAGTGAGTTAACACAGGAGGATGAAGATGAGATACCCGAAGTCAGTACCAATAAGAAAGGGAAGTTAGCTGGGAAGAAGACAAAGATCACAGCCAAGGCTGCGGGAAAATGAAGCACATTGTGGAATCAGATGATGAGCAGCCATCTGAACTCGCTCAATGTCCCAAATGGCAAACACACCACCATAAGTAGGTGCTTTCTTCTAAGGTATGTCTTTATTATATTGTAAACTGTAACTGACATTGACCTCTACTTTGATTCATAGCATTCTGGCATTCTCAACATGCATTGCTCTCAGGTCTTTATCTGCTCTCCTCCATGCTTTCATTTTCATGCTCTCATGTTCTGGTGCTTCATGTTACATTACTCTCTACCCACTGATGAAGTTGAACATTTTGTACTCATGCTCCCCGGCTGCCTAGTGTACTTTACAGATACTGACACGGTATCTGGATAGCTATGATTCAAGTTTCCCTACATTCCGTCGCATAGCAATACTTTGTACTCTCATTACTGCAGACAATACCATGCAATGTCTTCGCTATCTGGTTGACTGTTAATGTCCAACAATCTCTGCAATAACTATATGAAACACTAAGTTGCGTCCTCATCTACGATGTACAAGCACTTGTCCATCGGATTTTTCAGTTCCCTAGTATTGCAAGATATACTGGGCCCTGGACCTGACACTGCTGACATTGTAGGCACCAAAAATATAACCATATATTACCATGTCTTGGTCATGCAATTTTTGTGATGGTTGGATATTCATACCCGCAACCATACCGCAACCCTTTACCGCGGGTTGGCAGTGTTTGACAGGTATGACTTACCAAATCGGGAACCTTGACAGCCACTGAACACCTGTGCTATAATTCTCTGTGTCGGCTTACTCTGAGTGCTTGAGGATCACAACCCAATGCTATATTAATTTCTGTCATGTCTTTCATGCCCCTGTAAATTATTCTAGCAATTTATCAAGCTGACACTTTGCTACAGAGGAGCTCGAGTCACTACCATAAAGCCAAGGCAAAAACTCGAGACTAGTAAGTCTACCAAATTGTCTCTCCATGAAAACCAAGCTCGCAAAGAAGGCATCTGATGCCTTGTCTACCCAGTCACACTCATCATCTAAGTCTATCTCGTCATCCATCTCCAATAAGGCCAAGTCACTCAAAAAGGCCATTGCAAAGGGTGCTAAGGCTCTGACCTGCCCCTTGAAGAAAGTCAAACAGTCATTTGTGTCTCGGTCTGCTTGATCGAAACCCACAGACACTGTTGATCTCACACAATCAAGTACTGATTCTCTGGCCAGTGACAATGACAAAGCAATGGCAGGTGCATCCAATCCTGATCCTGATTCTGCTGCAGATCTCGGTGTGTTGCATTCCATTGATTTTTGCATATCTGATTGGGCGATGATACAGACACTCTCCAGAAGACTTGGTGGTCATCTATCTATAGCTTCTTTTCAGCTGATGTTACAGTCCAATACCACAATGGCTGCTTGTGTCATTTTTTCCCATGTGGTGCATGGAAGTGTAAGACAGCTTTACCTACATCCTGGCCTGAAGCTTGAGTACTTCTGTGAGCAATCCTGGGAGAAAGAGTGGATCAATACTGCCGAGCAGCTTGTTCATGAAGAGTTTACGAGAAATCTGGGCAAAACAACTGCCATACTTATCCAACACTGCATCAGATGGCATTAGACTATCTCTCCATCCCAGGTATGCCACCCTCAAATCCTCTTTCAATCAATCAGTACTTATTATCTCACTCAGCAACATCAAGCAGTTGAATGTGTCTTCTTGCAGGGCCAGCAGCTCCTTCATTTTACTTGCAACTGGCTCACACCATCAACAATTGGTGCTTTTCTCTGCCTCGGAGCCTGGGGCAGAAGTGATCTTCTGATGATGGAAGACCTTCTAGCCTCTGTAAAGAGTCGAAAACGGAAGTGAAATGAAGTTGAGGCTGAAGAGGATGACGAGGAAAAGTAGTAGTATTTATTTGGTTGTCATTAATACACTCTTCTTGCTAATGTACCCACGGTGTTCAGAGACACCGTGGTGTTGACGGGTTGGTGTGTTACCCGTGCGGAACCCTAATTCCACATAACTCGCTGAACCCACTGGCCACCCGGTAAGTGTAGTCCTTTGCAGAGATTTGAAACAATTAGACATTTCTCTCTGACAAAGACCTCCGTGTTGAAGCTGGAGAACAATGCTGTATTGTGTGTCTATGACATGGCGGGAGACGACAAGGAGAGGGTGGTCTATGACATAGGTATATATACGTAGTTGGGACTATCCGAACAATGAACGATAACGAAGGGTGGAATCCCAAACTCTAACACTCCAAGGGGAAGGCAGACTTGGACAGGTGTTTGCAGGAAACCGCAGAGAATTTGACTGGGCGAAGCTCACCACGGCTCATCAAAGAGACAGCATGAATCAACCATAACTATTTGGTAGTCCTAGACAAGCCAAGCCTTGGCAGGCGTCTTTGTGGACTCACATCATGGTACCATATTTGAAATTGTTTCTGAAAGAACTTGATAGTCTTATAGGCTATAGGCTACAAGCCAGCTCTTCTATCATGCCATGTCAGGCATTTTGCGGGTCTTCCTGGATTCTTCTACGCATGCATTGAGATATAATTGCTAACGCTCTTCCATTGGTGTAACATCAGCAAAACCGCCCAGGTCTTATGAAGCCTTGACTGGCCTAACAAGGCCATACGAGGTAGCTGTAGGCCTGGCGGATTGCACAAGGCTCACAGCACTATGAATGGAAATACTCCCATCCAGAAATGTAACACTAGCCTTGTATGAAGGAGAAGCAATTGTAGTCATGCAAGGCTTGAGAAGGTTATCAAGGCTTAAGAGGCTCATTAAGACTTAAGGTGCATGCACGGACTAATGAGCCAGGTAGTACATTGCAAGGCCATCCAGGCCAATCTATTAGCTCCAGTATGATACTAAAATACAATCAAGTCTGAAGAACGATCAGCAGTGATAAGTGTGAGCAAAAACAAGGCAGAATATGAGTATGATCAGAAACTAATGTGTAAAGCATAATGGTACGAAGGTTGGATAATGAATGCGGAAAGACGGATGGAGAACTAGAAGCTGTTCGTTCGTTTCTTGCCATGAGAAGGGTTTTGTTTGGTGGCTTTGGTAGAAGTCTTTTTCCCTTTCTTCTTCGGTGCCACTGGTGCGTCGGGAGAGATTTCCTCGTCCTTAATGAATGTATTAGCAGGGGGAAGTTTCAACTTCAAACTGACCTTTTTTGCAGCAGGCTGAGGGGAGGGAGTGACAGCAGTGTGAGGTGCTATGTTCTTTGCCTGTTTCATAGGCTTCGGTAGTGGCAGAGGGGAGGGCTTGTTATCTTCATCCTCGGTAAGTGGGGGTAGAGGAGAGTCGGATTGAATCTTCTTCACTGGGGGTGGGGAAGACGATGGTGTACGTTCCTCATCATCCTCAGAGAGTATAGCTTGATGGCGCTTGGTAGTCTGAGAGTGAGATGGAGTCTTCTTCACTGGGGGTGTAGAAGGCGATGATGCATGTTCCTCAACATTGTCCTCATCAGATTCAGGGAGTGTGGGTCGACGGTGCATGTTTTTTTTTCAATTGGTGGTTTTTTCTTCGCAGGATGCAACAGAAGAGGGGAGCGCTGATCATCATCATCCGGTGGCTTGATCGGAGGCCTAGGTAGGTTGGTTCAAATCTTCTTTGATGTCAGGCATGTCGAAGGTAGTACCACTGGTACGGGATCTTCGTCACTGGACTCAGCTGGAGGTTGGGGCTCAGGACAAGGCTTCAGTTTTACAGGTCGAGGGAGTGGAGCTGTGGATGTTTTCTTGACATGACTCGGAGGACACTCCTCATCATCAAACAGCGCTGTGGCTAGTGCAACATTTTTATGGGGAGGAGCTGGCTGTTACGGCTGTGTTGTTCTATGAACTTCTTTTCTTCTTTCCCTTGATCCACGCTGACTATGCACGACTCTTATCAGTCTATATTTAGTTCGGTATGACTCAGACGCCTCATTGCTTACACATGTAGCTTACTGATCATTACCTATTATTACGTAATGCCCTGTACCCTGTGTACTATATAAACCCTGGCTAGGTGACGCTGATTCTTCAGCTTAACCTACACTGGTTTTCCTCTGATCATTCTGACTTGGTTCTAAGTTACCTCTTTGGTACTTAGTCTTATTTGAACTTGGACATTCTTTAGACAGTTGTCTAGAACGTATCAACAGACCTTTGGTCTTATTGGTTGATTGTTTACCTGCGTTATACTTTGGCGTAACACTGGCTGTCTCGCTATATTGTGTAGTAAGTATGAGTCTTACAATGTAGCATATACTCACCATCAGGAAAAACTATATCTCTATATAGAGGACCATCCTCTATATAGCCCCAATAGCACACCACAGCTCTATACAGTCTATGGCAAGCTATCACAGCACTATAGACCAGTATAGACATC